CGAGCCCGCGCTTGCCGTTGTCCTTGTGCCCTAACTCTCCCTTGTTCTTTAATTTTTAGAAGAGACAACTACCGCCCTGACACCCTGGAAAGGTCAGTAAATTGGGGACCCCCTCAACCCCAGCGCTCCCTTTGCTCCTGTTCCCCGCCGGTCCCTCTGGCTACCACCTCAACTTGTCCTGGCAGGAGCCACGCCGCCCACTAGCAGACCTCCTACCCTGCTGCTCTCGTTAGTCAAGTGATGAATTAGGGCTTTCTCGCTGTAGTCTGCCTCCTCTCCCTTTCTTCCTCCCCACCAGCATACAGTGTCTTGTCTCATGGCAGTCTGCACCCTCTGCATGCCCCGTCCCCGCCCTCCGCCGTCCCCAACTCCCACGCTCCCTCACCATCGCCACCGTCCTCTCCTCCTATTTGCTGGGGGGAAAGCTGGGATGTTGTGGTGGTCTGTGCTCCCCATGTTGCTATTTAAAGAGGGCTCGTGCCAGGTCTGTCCTCCTCTGGGATGCCTCTAGAGTCCTATAATGAGGATGCAGTAGGGGTGGAGAAGCATCCTGTTCTCTTCCCAGCGTTACTCGTGGCCAGGGCAGCCGGCACTCTACCGTGCCATTGATATTGACAGGCCAGCAGGCTTGGTGTCAGTCTATATTTTGGGGCCCCGTAGGCAGGTGGCTTTGGTGATCTGTTGGGAGGTCAGCCCCATGGGATGATGTCTAGATGTCAGGAAGGTGACGGAGGCAGTGTGGAGACCATTGCGTCTCCAGATCTTCCCTTCCGCACGGCTTCCCGGCCATGCTGGGATTTCGGGCCGAGCGGGAAGCATAGAGAGGTGTCAGAGAGCATGTTGGAAGAGTAATACTGGTGGGAGATCAAAAGGTTCATGGTCCTCAGGGACCCCGTTGGGCCGTGGAGCGAGGGGATGTGTCTCGGGGTTTCGGGAGAATGGGTCGATCGGATCTTAGGGGCCAAGCGCCAGCCCAGATGCCATCCCGAGGTGTCCTCCCACCTGACGGTGTCCCAGGGCCCATATTTGGTGAGCGGTGGCGAAAGCCACTTGGTCAGGTGCCCTCCATGCCTTTTCCCACAGTGAGTTTAGTGCTCCTGACCCGTGACAGGGGCTTTCCCTCGTTTTATGGACTCTGCTCTTTCTCCCCACCCTCTTGATCCCACCTCATTATTTTTGAGACAGTCAGGAGCACCGGGCAGAGCATGGTGTTGGCCGCAACCTGCGTAATGCCGCGTGTATCGCTGCCGCCAGGGTCTCAGCCGGTCGGGCAGGAAGTTATTCCCCCGATCACTTCAGGCAAGATGTGGAGAGTAATGTGGGTGGGGGTCATCCCAGCACCCGTCTTGGCGGGGCCGGCAGAGCATGGGCTATTGAGCAAAAGCTATCAGCACCTCCCCTCCCCGTGTGGCTGGAAACTTGAAGGAAGGTTGGAGGAGAGGTGCAGGGTGTTGGATGCGGTTGACTGGGGGCGATGAGCTGTGGACGGGCTAGGGATGGGGACTCGGTGCCAAAGCAGGACTGTATTCCAAAGACCGGGGTTGGCGGGGATGGTAATGGCTGGCGCCACGCCCTCGAGGACAACACGGGCAGATAGGGGCGTTGGGGGAGCTGTCGTGTGGGGCAATGTGACCACATGCAATAGCTCTGGAGCCCCCAATGGTGTGGTTGAGGTGTTTAGAATGTATATTTTGGGTTTAATGGTTTTTGTGGACTTTGTGGCTAACCACGCAGGGGCGTTGGGGGAGCTGTCGTGTGGGGCAATGTGACCACATGCAATAGCTCTGGAGCCCCCAATGGTGTGGTTGAGGTGTTTAGAATGTATATTTTGGGTTTAATGGTTTTTGTGGACTTTGTGGCTAACCACGC